AACTTTCTTTTTAAGGAAATAATGAGAGAGTGAGGCCCTGGAGCCCTTTAAAGTTTTGAATTTCTCCATAAGAATAACGTTGGAAACAAAAACTGTTATGAAACTCCAGCTGTTGTCAGAAATCAAAAGTAAGAAGAAGAGCATATGTTGATTGTAAACAGTCAATAAGTTTGCTAAATTAACAGTTTGCTACAAACATTTGCTGACTTGGTTGAAATTCGTTTTAAAATAATGCCTGTAATACTTTGCAATTGCTCGAATTCGAGCAACAGGGACACTAGTTAAGAATTAAAACCCCTAAAAAATGATGTGCCACGTGACATATGTTAGCATTTTAAAATTTTGAACAATGGGTATTTGCAAATTAATTTTCAAAAATTAAATCTTTTGGAATGTTTATTCTATCAGAACCGTTACTTGTAGCATATCACAGTAAAGCTTATTTTATAACTAGTTAAAAAATGCAACCGGAGAAAGGTGAAGTGCGTTGGTATAGGAAACACAGAGTATTAATTAAAAACATATTGATTTCCCCCCCAAATAAAAACTGACACCATTTTGCAACTGATGAAGATAACTAATTTATGTTTTTGCCAACATGCTTATCTATTAAATACCTTTAAAATTATGTATAACATGATATTTGTTTAGATTGGAAAATTCCGAGATTCGAACTGGTGACCCTAAGTTTTGGCACACTAACATAAAAAATGTATCTGAAAAAAGTTGAAAATATTTTTACGTTATTCCTTGTGGCCAATTTAGTGGGAAATAGTTTGATTTCATCCTTGTACGTTAAGCAGTTTTCCCGTAATCAATTTGAGACACCTTACGTGGGACACCCTGTATACTGTATATCAAAATTCCGCAAAAACTTATCGATATGGAAATAAAGTGTAAATGTAATTTTTTTGCAATACATAATTTGTCTTTGCTACGATAAATCGTTCTCTGTAAATTGCCAGTAGGACATTCCACCCTGACAGGCAAAGACCTAACAACAGTTGCTAACAATACAGATGACAACAATTGGCCAAATTCCTGGGATTGTTCGGCATCTTGCTGTGGAAAGGCTATGAGAAAGGCTTTCTGATTTAAAATTTTACACCCTTGTTAAATAAATCAGACCAAAATTGATTATTGCAATTAGCGTATAGCCTATTAAAACTAACTAGTGGTCGTCCAGTGGTCGAAAACTCGATCAAAAGTATGTAGTTGAAATGAAATGGAAAAATGCATGATTTATTCAGGCAAAGTTAGGGCCACATAGCTTTTTTTACACTATGTAATGTACAGTGTAAAGCCCACACTGTAAATAAAACATGTGATTGGAATTTCTTTTGACTTTCTTGTTTATATTTCGTTGTTATTTTGTCACCATTATGGTAAACCATAAGGCCCACGTTAATTTTTGAAGTTTTAAAATTCATTTTTTGTGCTTATTTTTGAGCCAATTTTAATGTTTAAAGGGATTCTGCACATCTACAGGAACATATCTTTCTATTATGAGCAGATTTTACCTGCGATGCACACGAGCTGCGGAAAAGGGGTTAAAGAAACATGCTTGCCTATTAATATATAGAATTCACTACAACTACCGCCACTCATCCTACACTCATCTTCATTCATACTTGGCTTAAAATACCTACTTTGTATGGTCGCCATTTAATTTAAAAGTATAAGTAAAGAATAAAGTATATCCATTTTGGGCCCCGCAGAAACCAAAATAGTTATTTGTGTAACTAGTGGTGAAAGTGGCACTTTGCTGCACACGAGGTTTACGCACGAGCCGCAGGCGAGTGCGGAATGATCTCGAGTGCAGCAAAGGCCTTTTTCACTCGTGTTACACATTATATTTTTCCTACAGTCACTATAAAGCATATAAATAATTAGTCTTTCAAACACTATACAACACGTTTTTAGGTTCAGCTGGCAACACAAATGGTGCCCTAGAGAAAGTAGTACCGCGCGGTCCGTATCACTCCGCTATTTTTCCTCGGCAAGAAATATGCTCCGCGTTTTGAGAATATAGTTCCGTATGTTTTTGTAATTTGAAGTAGTTTCCGTTCCTTAAAAAAATGCTTTAAAGGTATTTTCTTGTTTGTTAAGATCGTAGGAATATTTTAAAAGCGTTTAAAAGAAAAGTCCAGAAAGTTCAGAAATACCGAAACTATAAACACGAAATGACAGGTTAAATCGTAGTTATAATGTCAATCAGCTGGTCATAGTATTATTATTTTTAAAGTGTTGCCAACCTATTTCCAAGTGTACACGGATTACGTGCATAATAGAACCACGCTGTTTTGTGTTGTTTCGTTGGAATCCTGATGTGCGGCAAAGTATAAACCGTACGGCAAAGTATAAACCGTACGGCAAAGTATAAATATGCAGCAATTAGCAGCTTTCTGTACTATAAACAGTACAAGGAAGCCAACTTTGTCAGGTGACTGTAGGAAATAGTTATTTCATAACAAGAGTAGTAAGTGAGTCATTACATATTTCAGAACATTATGTTTAAGGTGCGAGATTTATTTATTAACTTTAAACTAGTGGTCGTCCAGTGGTTGAAAATCGACCAAAAATATCCAATGTACAGGCTTCTCTATTTTCACCCAAGCTGTATTTATTTATTTATTAAACACCAACGGCAAACACCATTTTACATTAAGTAGTTACAAAAAATATTATAAAGATATAATAATTAACAGAGGAGTAACAATGCATAAAAAAATATAACAATGTATAAAAAATATAACAATAACAAAACATAACAATGAATATATCAATAACAAGAATACAAACAAAATAGATCACAAATATTAACATGGGAAAAAATCAACAACAAAGGAATAACAACAACGATGCTTTTATGGTGTACCCTCAAGGATGCTGTCAGCCGCAGAACGCCGAACCACCCCCAAGGAGGCAGTTAAAAGGTCCACAGAGCTGCTTATCACATTCCCGAGGCGCATGATCCGGGGAATGGTACTAGATCTGGCGTAGTTGGTCCCAGTATGGTCCAGTTCAAATACACGCTGATGTCTCGTGATTCTCGAAGGAACATGGAAGTTTATCCTTTCCAGCAAGAAGGGGCAGTTGACTTGGTTATTTATCAGTTTGTAGAGAAAGGTCACATCAGCCACTCGCCTTCTGTTTTCAAGACTCGGAATGTCATAGATATTAGAGAGCTCATCTACCCGGACGTCACGAAAGTCAAGTCCAGCACGACATCACAGGAACCTGATGAAGCGTCTCTGTACCGACTGAAGATGGTAAATATGGCCAAGATGGTATGGTGACCAAACCAAGGAAGCATACTCAAGAAGCTGCAGGATGAGAGACTTGAATAGGATAATACAGGCATGGTTGCTCAAACCATGTCTAGCAGAGCGGAATACCAAACCGAGCATACTGTAAATAAAACATGTGATTGTCATTTCTTCCATTTGTTTTGAATTTCTGTTTATATTTTGTTGTTATTTCGTCACCAACATGGCAACCCATAAGACCCATGTTAAATTTTTTAAATTTCAAATGAGTTTTTTGTGCTTATTTTCGAACCTATTTTAATTTATAAAGGGATTCTGCACATCTACAGGTAAATATCTTTCTAATAGTATGCGTAGATTTTCCTTGCGATGCGCACGAGCTGAGAAAAAAGTTTTTAAAGAAACATGCTTGCCTATTAATATATAGATATGGTCAAGAATATGTAAGAATTTTTGAAGGTTATTTTTTGCTACCCTAATTTTTTTACTAATCTTAGACACAAAAATATTTCTTGATTACAGTTATATTTATACAGGAATATTTCAAAATAAATAGCATTTTTTAGGTTTTAGGCCTTATATTTTAGTTTAAATTTACGTTGACTGTGCAGTTTTGGTTGTTGAAAATTTAAACATTTGATGAAACAAAAACAAATGTTTGTTTGTTTATGTCATTAAAATCAGAAAAATATAGTAAACATCCTTTTTGCGTGGCACAGGAGTGTGGAGAAGCGAATTCAATATGGTCTCCTCCTCTTCTAGGAAAACAGGACTATTAAATTACCTAAGACTGGACAAGTGGAAAATCACTTCGTCGTACTACATTGCAGAAAAGCGATTTTCCGCTCGTCTAGTGGTGAAACCCTAACTTAAAGTAATTTTAATGGTACTGTTTTCCTAGAAGCGGAGCGTACCGCCACTAGACGAGCGGAAAATCGCTTCTCCGCTCTCCGCACATAGCATTCCGCTTTCACCGCTCCGCTTCCTCGCCTGGGAAAACCCAGCTTTAAACTATGTAAAATAACTCAGAATGCATGTGAACACTAACCAATACTTAGTAACTTTTGGTTACCGGTTGCTATGCTACTTTTTGCTACCTAGTTAGGATAAAAAATTTAAGTTTCACAACACTCAAGTAAAATCTATAGTCGGTAAATGGGGGTTTTCATGTGGTAGGTAGTTTCGGATTTTCGATATTAATTTATATTTATTATTAAGTTAGACTGTAATAAGTTATTAACACAATATTAATTAAGAGCACAATATTAATTTGTGTAATATTACAGAAATAAATTTACTAATTTCTCAACAGATACGTAGCTATCATTTTTGTCATGATAAATTGTCCGTTCGTTTAAGGTAATTTATATTTATAAAATAACAAACTTGATGATTCAAAACAAGTTTGTTAAAATCGAGGATGGAATCCTCGGACGGTTTTATATCAAAAGCAAACTACTTAACCCACACAAAAGCTAAACAACAAACTTAAAATCTAACTTCCGTTGGGTACAGTATTGAATAAAGTGCTTAAACGAGAAAATAACAATAGGAAATTTTTAAATGTCCCTGTCTCTGTTTGGTAAACGTACCTTAAATGTATGACCATTAATACAAGACAACGAGAACATCCGTTGACCGTTTGGTGAGTACTTATGGGAAACCCGAACTAGAACGCATTTCACAAGGGGTTTATAGTATGGCTTTAATGTGTTAAAGATATCTCCGAAATATTAGCAAGAATGGGGCAGACTTTGAGTCATTGTATTGGCAGAAGAACTCCACCAACTCCTGATCTGTCCTCGGAACATATCACTGATGCCCCGACAAACACAGTAGATTTACCACACCAATCGGCACAGTCTGTGCCATCATTGCCCGATCCTCCAACACACCTTCCAGTACAGTCTGTGGGGCAACCACTACCATGCAGACCACCAGACCTGTCACTACAGACCGTGCCATCATTGCCCGATCCTCCAACACACCATCCAGTACAGTCTGTGCCATCATTGCCCAATCCTCCAACACACCGTCCAGTACAGTCTGTGCCATCATTGCCCAATCCTCCAACACACCGTCCAGTGCAGTCTGTGGGGCAACCACTACCATGCAGACCACCAGACCTGTCACTACAGATCGTGCCATCACTCCCCGATGCTCCAACACACAACCCAATCCAAGCTCAATCCAAAGCTGCTCCAATATTCACTCAAGAAGTCGCTGTGTACGTCATGACAACTGGGAGCGCTTCGAGGACGTCCACTACTTTGTACTCTTCCGCTGTGAGTTTTGCTTATAGCGTATTCATGGTAATCTTATTTACTAAAAAACTTTTAAACTTATGACTGAATTACATGCGGTTGGTATCAAATGAAAGATATTTTCCTGTAGATGTGCAGAATCCCTTTATTAGTTAAAATAGGCTCAAAAATAAGCACCAAAATGAATTTGAAATTAAAAAAAAATTAACTTGGGTTATGGTGACAAAATAACAACAAAATATAAACAGAAAATCTAAACAAATTCCAATCACATGTTTTATTTACAGGGTGGGGTGAAAATAGAGAAGTCTGTACACTACATATTTTTTGGTCAAAGACCTTTAGGAACCAATGTAAAAATAAACTTGTCTTATGTATATTTAACATAGAGCCAAAATTAAGCTTATGACAGCTAGCCTGAGATTTTTCGTAGCTTCTGGATTTTTCAGTTACATTTATTTAATTATACATGTTACTTTTGAGCCCTCTGTGGTTTCAACTATAATACGTCTCCTGGAATAAATTCGTATGCAAAATCACGTTACTAGATTGTATGCAATACCCCTTTTGAATGTTACTAAACAAAATTTCATTTGATAACTACTTTTTCAGAACATGCAAAGTTTTATTAGTCAGTTGAATTCAAAAAATGAGAGTTTGAAGGAAACATATGTCAACGCAACATATGCTGATAGAGAACGAATGGAGGATTTTATTCACGAACATTGGCAGAAAACAATTTCAACGAACGTAAGCATGAATTCTGTATTTTAAATTAATAATTGTACTATATCTAGTCGACTATAATACTAGCACTATTTCTTTAATAGCAGTATCACCATAAATTGTTAACATTCTTTACTGTCAGTTACCCTTTAGAGACGACCACAAACTTTAGTTCAGACATCACATTGAATCAAAGTGTAGTTGCCGGACTTAGATTTAGCAATAATAGCTACCATGGATTAAATATCCTCTCTAGATTTATAAATCTTACTTCCTTACGTGTTAAGGTTAGTTTTGACCATTTATTTAAAAAGGCAGTTTTTTGCCTATTTTTTATTATATTATTTTTAACCTATTATATTTAACTTATTTTAAACTATTGTTAACCAAACAAAACCTAAATATAAACATACCCCCGCCGCAGCAAACCTGCAGACTAAGCGAATTTCCATTTGACTAATTGGATTTACACTGAAATTTCTACTTAAAAATATAACATTTATTCTCTATTTAAATAAGTTAGTTTAACTAGTACTTAGGTTTGCTGCATCAGGGAGGGTAAAACTGTTTTTTTTTGTAAAACGTTAATAGTTAGTAAGAAATAAAAACATTTTCCAAATTTGATCGAAATATGTTCATAAACAAACTACAACAATTTACTTATTCTCCATAAGAATAACATAGGAATTTTAAATTTACAATTTTTTGGAATTTTCTCCGTAACCATTAGGCGCATAATAACGCTTCAATATACTAAATTATTTGTTTTTTAAGCTCTACAAAATGGTTTGGAAAAAAATTGCTAAATTTTATGTTTATTGGGTCAAAAATGGGAAAACCCTATTTTTACCCCATAAAACCCCCCGTAAACCCCCGTTCCCATGGTCCGATCATGCTGGATCACGAACTCGTTCGAATAAACGTAGGTTTACACGTTTGTACCAAATTTCATCGAAATCGGATCATTTTTGCTCGAGTTATCGTGCTAACGGACACACACATATATATATATATATATATAAATATATAAATATATAAAAATATAAATATATAAATATATATATATATATATATGAATTTGAACGGATGGTGTTTTTGGCCTCTAGGGACCTCAAAATGAAAAAAATATACCCCCGTCGCAGCAAACCTGCATACTAAGCGAATTTCCATTTACCCGGCTTGGTTTCTACTAAAATATTCCCTATAAATTTTCAGATTTATTTCCTATTTAAATAACATTAATTTTAGTGAGTAGTTAGGTTTGCTGCTACGGGGAAGATGTTGAGGTGTGTTTTTTTGAATTGAAATAGTGATAGCTTAGTATGAAATAAACCAAATTGCCAAATTTGATTAAAATTTATCCATAAACAAGCAAACTAGAACAGTTTATTTATTCTCCTAAAGAATGACATGGGAATTTTAAATTTACAATTTTTTAAATTTTCTCCGTAGTCAATGAACATTAAAAAAAACTTCAATATACTAAATTATTTGTTTTTTTAAGCTCTTCAAAATGGTCTAGAGAGAAATTTAGAAATTTAAAGTTTTTAGGGTCAAAAATGAGAAAACCCCATTTTTACCCCATAAAACCCCCCATAAACCCCTGATCCCATGGTCCGATTATGCTGGTTCGCGAACTCGTTCGAATAAATGCAGGTTTACACATTTGTACTAAATTTCATCAAAATCGGATCAATTTTGCTCGAGTTATCGCGCTAACGGACACATATATAAATATATATATATATATATATATATATATATATATGAATTTGAACGGATGGTGTTTTTGGCCTCTGGGGACCTCAAAACGAAAAAGTAAATCGGTCCCGGGTCTAGGTCTTACCATGAGACCTACGGTAATAGCTTATTCCCTATATGGGAAATTCGCTAAAAATCGGTCCTGCGTCCAGGTCTTACCATGAGTACTACGGTAATAGCTTATTCCCTATATGGGAAATTCGCTAAAATGCTTGTCCTTTGGCATTAATCCAAACAAAGTACAAAAAAATAGTCATTGTCTGCGCACTCGTAATATTACCAACAAGGAACTGTAAATTACAGGCTTAGGATTTTACAACCGGATAAGAAGTCCATTTGCAGCATCTATAAAGCGGTTTGAATATTTTCCTAAATGGAAACTTGCTAAGAACAAAGTTATACTACTACTAGCAGAGTACCCGTCCTTCGTACGGGGTTGGAATATAAGTATAAAATGCTTATTACAGTTATACTCAAGCTTCGCGTTTGCAATAAGGGAACACAGTGTGATAACATTTGCTTTTTTAAATTTACAGTATTCTATAGTATTACCAAAGATTACATATGCTACACATCTACCATAGCCATAATGTTCTACCACTTCACCTAAACAATAGAGAAAAATAAATGATCAACAATTCGCAAAATATCACAAATTATTCATGAAATGAAAAACATAAACATAACTGTAAACAATCCTACTTTGACAGTTCTCATTGCGAATCACATTTTTTTGGTGCTGCTTAGTTCAAATTAGCTGTTTTCATAAATGCAAAAAAATATAGTGCTGCACCCTGTTGGTAAATCTTATAACTTTGTAATGCTTTTCCATATCATAGAACCAACGTTTTTAGTTGAAACAGCTGACTAAATTCTTTAATTCCCTTTAAATATGAATACTCATAAGGTTAACATGGGGAATTACAGAGCCACTGGGGCGGAGCCCGAAAGGATTTTTGAGATAAGAATATGCCTATATGTTAATCGGGAATGTAAGCTATCACCATGCCAAATTTCAGCCTAAACCGTCCAGTGGTTTATGCCTGATTGAACTTCAAACACACAAACAAACAAACACACAAACACACAAACTTTCACATTTATAATATTAGTAAGATTAAAACACATTACAGGTAGAACTTACAGGAGTAAGCGAAGTTAAGAACATATTTTTACTCGGAATGTACGAACTAAAGAAGGCCGAGTACAAGTCTCGATATGGGCCCGGGAATGTAAAGGAGAAGACACTGATCCACGCCACAGGCGTAGACAAGGTCAACTCTATCGTAAGAGACAACCTGGACTGGAGGAGGGTGCAACGGAGTAAATATGGAGACGGGGTCAGTTTCTCGTGGAGCCCCGACTACTGCAATTTCTACTGCAACCGGAGAAACGGTGAGTATAACAGTGACATTTTCTGTTTTAAGATCCATATCTCATTAAAGCACTTGTATAGCTGGGCTGATGTGCAAACTGGCTTACACTATTTTAACTTTGGCTGACACTTTGGCTTAGCATTGTATCCACTTGTTAAAGTTGTCACCAGTTTTAAAATCAAAATGGTCGTACTGTAGTTGATGTGAGCCACCGACAAATAGAGCTGATATAAATTACAAATTGTGTTCCATTCACGAACTTTTTTTACCAAGTTGAACTGATGGGACTACTTATTGAGATCTATATTGTATTAATAGTCAAAGGCTATAGCAACGTCAAGGTCCACTAGTCAATGCTGCAAGCTAGATTTTTCGATTTATACAACTTGAAAAGCATAATATTTGTAAACTAGTTTGCTTTAAGTTTAGAAAGCCTATTCCAGCTGTTGCATTTTCATATTCACTAAAAGCTTAGCTGATTTTTATTGCTTTCCAATCATTGAGATGGGATACATTTGGGCATAAACCCGTTTAGGAGTATGAAGATTAGTGTAAAATGTGTTAACAAAAGTCGGGAGTCAGTATACCTAGGACATTTATTTTATAAACTTAAGAAACGCTGCTAACTGGACAGGGAATAATATAGTTTTTCACACAATTTATAAGTTATAAATTCCAATAATCATGGTGTCCAGCCGACCAGGAATTCCAAGGATTATACTTGGAGTTTTTATTACCGGCAAAACTCTGTAAGTGATAGCTTTTTTTTGGGATTGGGAAATTAAAACAATCAAATAATGGCTATTCACGGTTGCTATCGTGATCGCGTGAGACCACTACGGTTACATGACTGCGGTGGATGATCTAAACGGAGTGTTCGACTTGTATCAATGCAAGAGGAATTTTCTTATTTTCCATTCGACTTATAGGCAATGGCACACTACCGTCCAGTAGCTTGAAATAATCTGGCACTGGATTTTAGATAATAACAAAACAGCACAAGGCATCTTTACTAAAATATACTCATATCTCAATTATATGTTAGTTAAAAAGTTAGATTTGTTCACTTGTACATAGGGTTGATTTGGTTTTATATACAGGGTGGCTGAAAAGTCACTACCTATTTTAATCAATAATCGTCATGACTGTGCTAAAGAACAAATAAACATGTACTATGTAACATTGATGTAACATTGATTAATGCCATTTATTATGAAACACGTTTAGCCTCGACATATGCACCGGCATTGTCTACAAATTTTCTTAATGTAACAGATACATTTTGAACAGACTTTTGAATAAAGTCTTGTGGAACATTACCACAACATCTAAACTGGAAATGTCCAATTAATTTAGAGTTTTGGATTCCTTCTGCAAACCTCTTCTTTTGACACTCCCCATAAAAAGAAATCACACTCAGGCCAGTGATGTGGACTACCTCGTCAAATCCATTTATCGGGGTATGTTTATTGAGCCATTCGCGAACAATATTTTCATTATTCACATTGCCACTTTCAATCAGTTTATTACAACTATTTTATACTTCTTGCGTTCCATTCTGTACTACACCACCTCTGGACCTGAACAATAGACTGCTAAACTTCATTGAGAGTCCATTTTTGTCCTTTCCTCAATACTTAAAACACCAGCCATAAGAGCAGATTTAAAAGCTTCAATCAATTTAACATTAAGAACTACCTACAATAGCATCGAATTAGCTTTCTAAAGCCAAGAGTTTTGTTTAAGGTACATACTTTTCAGCCACCATATATATATATATTATATACAGGGATGTATATATACTTTATGTATAGTATGTATTTATATGTACATAATATTTTACAGGAGATCGTCGAGTGTTTATCGTAGCTTCCGTATTATATTGTCGAGGAGAAGACGGAATATATACACCATCTGGTGACGTCGACACAGCTCTTGGCAACAGGGGGTTTGTATTCGTTAAGTTCTACGACAACGAGTTTCTACCAAAGTACCTAGTATTTTATAACGCTCCATACCTAACATCGACACGTCGGAACTGGTATTAGCATATAGGAGAGCATGCTTTTGTACATTTATATGATTTAGAATAATGGGAAATTTGGCATTTAAAAATTGAGTTTTTATTTATGATTAATAGAATTAACGGGAAAGTAGACAGACGCTGCTAAAGATTTGGAAATATCGTGTTACCACTTAATAATTATTTTCGCTACACTACTATGAAATGACCTGTTTTCGTTACATGTTTATCACCTGCGAAAATTCAGCATTACACTGTTTACTACGGAAAAAGAATGTTTATTATGCAAAAGTAATGTTCACTATCTTTTTTCCATTTTGCCGACGTAAACAGAACAAGATTTTTTATTGTTTTGTCAACTGTTTCAAATTTTAACAACAAAAACTCTACAACCAAAGTAAATATTAACTTTAAATTGAAGACATGACCTAAAAAATGCTATGAGTTTTATAGTGTTTCTAACTAAATAAATAAAGAAATATCCAACGTCTTTTGTAATTAAGAAAATAATTAGTTTTTGTAGTGTAGCGAAAAGTAACATCCAAAACACGAATGAAAGTGGGTCTATACATATTCTCGACCATTTAAAGTGCTCGATAAATCTCACACTTCAAACATGGTCTCAAATATGTAATGACTCACTTTCTACTTATGTTATGAAATATGCTATTGCTCTACTGATGGACTTAAATCAATAAAATCGGCCACGCTAAGCAAGCATATGGCATGACCTGGCATTTAATTCTTTGTTCGACGCTCAACATTTTTAAATATAAATAACTACGACGGTTTAATATTTTGATCCTTTACATGTTTGGATATTTTAGGGTAGATTATATAGGTAAACCCCTTATTAAAGATACAGCGTCCATGTAGGCAAATATTTAAAAAGGGTTAAAAACCAAACAGATCAACATATTTAAGTGGATAGGTTAATGGAATCTTTATCCCCAGAAGATTTGTTTCTGTAATATTTATTTATAATAAGTTTTTCATTATTATTTTGTATTAATATTTTTAAAACGGTTTACTGTTCAATTTGAGTTCAGCAAATATACTGTTGAAAAGGTTGATACGCCAAGATTTTAATAAAGGTAATCTATACATATACTTTGACATACGATAATGTAAATTGCTGAGGCTGACATTTTTAGTAAATACAATTTGTTTTAGACATCTTTCTACGTGTTTTTAGCAAGAAGTTATTTAAAACGAAACTAGCAACCTGCGTCACTTTGTGACTTAGAATTAAAATATTTTACTTGAATTATCTAAAACATCAATAAAACATACTATAAAAAAACCTCTCACAACCTCTAACGTAAGTGATTGTCTTCTTTACATATAATTATAATACAAATAACATTACAACATTTTACTTGAATTCACTGAAACATCACCAACTAAAAAATATAACCCCATTTTCGTATGGATGTAAAAAAATTGTATTATGGCCATCTGTTTTAATGTAAATAAATGTAAACTTGAAAAAGTTCAGATGATTGACAACATAATTTTAACTATGATTAATTATGAAATTTTAAAATCCTATTGGACGAGGGCTTTCATGGGATATCATACAAACCCGCAAAAGGCACATATCCAGGATAAGAGCTAATACCCAATATGCCTATAAAATAAATATTTAGGGGTCGATTTGCTGCACACAAAATAGTAGTTTACGCAACGATTGCGTTAAGTGAGTCTTTACGACACGAGTAGAAAATTTAAGGCACGAGCCTTGGCGAGTGCCTTAAAAACTTCTACGAGTGTCGTAAAGACTATTAACGCGAGTTGCGTACACTACTTTACCTACGACCGTTTTTTAATTACTATCAATCTGGATTTAATTACTAACAATCACTACTGATAACTTTTTAGAGAGGTTATGTTTTCGTGTATTGTCATTTCCACTGAAAGTGATGCAACGACTTGTTGTATAATCAGCTGATTTCCTGTAATTACGTGTTTGTTAAACTTCGTTAAATATTACATTGCTAGCAGCATTATTACCATAAATAATATTGTATCAGGTACAATTCGGCAAATATTTAATTTATTTTTGGACTTCCGCCAACTTAATTAAGAATACGCGAGTATCAACATGAACAAGTCGGATCAACAATTAAATTGGTCAACTGATCAGCTGATTAGTTGACGTTCGAAGCATTACAATTTTAATTCTTTTCTCTCAATACTTGAACCTCATTGGTCCGTTACCTGTGTGGATATGAGAAAAACTATGCTGATATGAAATGAAACTATGCTGATATGAAAGTAAACAGCTGTAAAGTGAAACTTTTCAATTCTAAGAACTGGACTGAAATGGCTACTTTAAAAAACGGTCGTAGGTAAATGTAGTTTTTATAACATATTTCCTAATGATTGGAGTATTACCTCAACCTGACCAACGGAGGATGAATCCCATAGATTTCTTCGCTGTGGTTTTCTTCACATTACCCTGTCCTATCACGTGTTCTTTACCAAGGATACCATCTCAGCCATCTGCTTTAATACCTTGTCATTAACGACGTACGAAACATCAGAAGAACATTTTTAACTACTGTATGCATAAAAATCTTAACAAATTATCTTCTACATATATAAAAGAGGAAGTATGTATGTACTCTATGGACTCTGAAATCACTCAATAGATTGCAATGGAATTTTCAGCTATAATTAAGAATTATTCAAGGATGGTTTGTGTGAAGTTTAATGCAAATCCGTCAAAGGGCTCCACCCCAGTGGCTCTGGAGTTTCCCAAGTTAACCTTATGAGTACTGATATTTAAATGGAATTAAAGAATCTTAACAGTGGTTTCATCTAAATAGTTTGATTCTTTGATTATCAATAGCATTAAAAGGTTACAAGATGTACTAACAGGGTGCAGCACTATTAATTGTTTAAATTTATGACAACAGTAAAGTTGCTAATTTCAACCAAGCAGCTGTGATACAAAATTAGAACCGTCAAAGTAGGATCTTTTACAGTTATGTTTATATTTTTAATTTAATAAATAATTTTTGATAGTGTGTGAATAAGGAGTTTTATTTTTAACTGCGTAATTCATTAACTTATTGACATTCTTGTTTCAAAAATGTTAATAAAAACCTATTGTATTTGTATTTTTTATTTCCAAAAAATAATATCCGGGAAACGAAAGTAGCCAGTTAATGTTGTTAGTACTTTAGTGGATTACTAAAAGTTTATCTACATACAGCAGATCTATGGAAAAACAATTATTCTCTTAAGCGTTCTCTTCCCGTTGCAAAGCACGGGTATGATGGCTAGTTGGTGATAAATCATAAGGAAACTATATCACTTAAAAAACATTTAGGGATTTAAAATGCACTCTGAGGCACTTTATAAAATTTAAATGGCTTATGAAATCACTATCAAAATATATTGTTGGCAATATAATTTATTTGAGTTTTAGAATTTCGTCCAATGATTTTAAATTGAATGTTTAACGAGACACACCTTTTTTGATTGCTGGTTTGCTGCATTTTGGTTATTTGATGTACACGGCAAGAAAATAGTAAAAACTAGTAGGCGAACGAGATCGGCCGAGTGTTCTTGAGTCCTCACGACCGAAAGATTTACCATACCACATGACCGTAACTTGGAATGGTTTATGTTATGATCAGACTGACGTACATTACGTCCTTCAATGTATCGAAATATCAGTTTCGGGACAGGCATTTGTTTTACAGAAACAAATAAACCCAATACAAACAAAGTAATATACAGTACTACAAACAGTGTTTTACGACTGTCGAGAATGTTTACTAATTACTACTATATGTGAAAAGAAAGTTTATCAGTTCGCATTTAAAGGTACCAAGATATTTTTTCATCAGTAAGTTACTTCATTTTATATTTTGTATAGCTTTTACATGCCTGGTTTAATCTTACTAATATTATAGATTTTACGTATGTATGGATGTTTGTGACAAGTAAACTCGAAAAATACTGGTCGGATTGGGCTGAAATTTGGAGTGATGATAGCTCACATTCCCGATTAAAATATAAGCATATTGTTGTCTAAAAACTCCTTTCAGGCTCCGCCCCAGTGGCTCTGGAGATTCCCGTGTTAACCTTTTGGGTATTCACATTTAAAAGGAATTAAATAATTTTGTCAGCTGATTCGACCAAACAAGTTGTTTCTATGATAGGCAATAGCATGAAAAGGTTATAAGGTATACCAACCGCAGCACTATTATATTTTTGAAGCCTGGATAATTTTATATAATAAAAAAAACTGAATTTACACTGTGTTGCAATCTTTGAGAGAGCCCATTTGCAAACTATGGAAACATAGGAAAGTCATAGAACACTGCCAAGGAGAAGAAATAGAAATAATGTTATTTTTTTAGAATTTATAATCGTTATTATGGACATCTTAATTCGGCTATGAGTAAGGCTATTTGTAGAGAACACTAAAAAAACACCAAAAAATGATCAGATATTTAATTTGATTATATCGATCTATTATGTACATCTTGAGTATTTCCATAATCTTTGAGTGATATTATTTTTAAAAGTCATCAGATATTATGACTGTTATTCGTTTCAAAATAACTCCTTTAATACTTAGCAATTGCTCGAATTCGAGCAACAGGTACACTAGTACTTATTTAATACGCAAGCAGGGTTTTTGTGACAATTACTCCTCCGAAACTACTGAACCGATTGACATGTTTTGGTGTCATTGGAAAGAGCGTAACGTGAAGTTGAGCAGAACACTTTCTTTTTAGGGAAATAATTAGAGAGTGAGGCCCTGGAGCCCTTTAAAGTTGCGTATTCCTCCATAAGATTAACATGGGAAACAAACATTGTTATGAAACTCCAGCTGTTGTCAGAAATTAACAGTGAGAAGAAGAACATATGTTAATTGTAAAATTGTGACAGAGAGGTTATGCAGAAAATCAGGTAGTTAATGGTTATTTGGTGCTATCAAAATAAAGACTGAAATTTGTAAACGTACTGGCGACAATGAGTGATACCATGCAGACTACATTATCATTGACAAAGACCAACATGGACAACCCATTGCGGCTATAAGTGGGAAACATTTCTACAATACACCAAA